AAAAGGACGAGATGCTCTGAGGCGCGACGTTGTTCTGAGCTCAGAGTTGGGGCCATGTGATTTCAAGTGTAGCAAGTGCATTACTACTAGCGACAACAAGAAGCTACTAGTAACAAGTGCATTACTACTAGCAACAAGGACATCGTTACTAGCAACAAGTGCGTTCCTACTAGTAACAAGAAGCTACTAGTAACAAGTGCATTACTACTAGCAACAAGGGCATCGTTACTAGTAACAAGTGCGTTACTACTAGTAACAAGAAGCTACTAGTAACAAGGGCATTACTACTAGTAACAAGGGCAGTGCTACTAGTAGCAAGTGCGTTACTACTAGTAACAAGAAGCTACTAGTAACAAGGGCATCGCTACTAGTAACAAGTGCACTACTACTAGTACCAAGAACCTACTAGTAACAGGGGCATCACTGCTAGTAACAAGCGCATTACTGCTAGTAACAAGAAGCTACGTGTAACAAATGCATCGATACTAGTAACAAGTGCATTAATACTAGTAACAAGAAGCTACTAGTAACAAGTACAATACTACTAGCAACAAGAAGCTACCAGTAACAAGGGCATCGATACTAGTACAACAAGTCATTACTACTAGTAACAAGACGCTAACTAGCAACAAGGGCATCGCTAATAGTAGCGCATTAGTAGCAAGAAGCTACTAGTAACAAGGGCATCTCTACTAGTAACAAGTGCGCTACTATTGTCACTTTAAATCTGTGGTGTCCTTTTCCGCTCAAGGCATGTTAGAGCGGATCCTCCAGGTTGGTAAGGGTCTCACTGCCCTTTCCGACTTGTCCTTCGGCTGGGCCTGCCCCTTGCATTGCTCCTCGGTCCTTCCCTGGCTTTTCCTCGGCATCCTCCTTGGATTCCTTTTGGCCTCCCTTCTTGGTCTCTTTCTGGCCTTCTCTGTCTTGAAAGTCTTCAGGCCGTCTTTTGAGGTTGCTGGAGGTGGACCGACTTCGGACGTGGGGGTGGTCGGGCCTGATCATTTGTCGAAGAGGCTCCGACTGGCTAAATATCTTGAATGAGTGCCCCTGTCGCACGTGCTGACATTGAGTCACTGGTGGCGGCTGTCAATCGGTTGACCTTGGGGCATTTGAGAGGGCGGAAGCTGCTACTTCTTCGTCAACTACCGTACAGGTGCCTATCATCTCCGAGGCCGGCTGGGAACTTGTGGAGCCTCCGACTCAGACTCCTTGGGTCGTGCCTACTACATTCACTGGAGTGGAAGAGGGACCTACTCAGATTCCTCATCCCTGTTGGTGTCAGCGGCGTTGAAGATCTCCTCCGTTGTTGGCAAGCCGGAAGATCGAGTTCGTCGTGCTTGGCGTTCAGGCTGGCAGGCTTGGTCGTGTTTGGTGATCCATACCGAGTACGAGCAGTTGGAGAGTCTGGGCTCGCTATCTGATACTCAGTGGGTGATCATCAGGGCTCCTTCACTCAATAGCCCAGTCAGGGTCCGAAAGGTCTCGGAACTTCGTGCCCTTCTCGCAGTTGTCCCTCGTGGAGATCGTGGTCCCATCTATCAAGGCTTCCCCTCAATGCAGTACTCACAAGTGAAGATGGCGGGGTCCGGGTCAGACCATACGCTCCTTGTGGTTGGCCTGGACTTTTTGGTGGAAGGAGCAACAGTCGATTTTTGCTATGCCTGCCACATGGGGTCATTGATGACTCGATGATGCTGGAGGGCAACTATCCTGTTTCCTATCCGTCCTGGCTGGGAGTTGGTTCCATGTTTGAAGTGGCTATGGTGGAAGAAGCGGACGATGGGAGCGTTGCTCCTTTGGGCGTTGCAGGCCCTGTTTCGGTGATTGATGTTGGGAACGAAGTGCTCGCCTTTTGTCGTGAGTACGATCCTGTTACAGACAGTGACGCGGAGGTCACTCCCTTCCATGCGGCCCTTGTACAAGCGCTGCCAGATGTCGCTGTCTTGACTGCTTTGGTGACTAGCTGGGTATCCGAACGTGGTGATGGCAGGGCTCCTTTTCTCTCGGCTCAAGAAAACCCGGGTGGACAGTCGCCTATAGCTGCAAAAGCAAGTGCAAAGAAAGCAGCTGCCAAACGCGTCGCAAATGCAGCCTTGTTGGAGCAGATGAACCTCCTGGTCGCCCAAGTCCAAGTGATTGGAAGAAGACAGGATGCCCTGGAGAAAGCAACTTCATCAAAGCCCTCTGCAAAAGGTGTCGTAGAACAGCCCGGTGGCAGATCAGTCAGGTTTCCGGCTTTGTCAGACGGCCTCAATTCCGGGGCTGGCCCTCCTTTGTCCGTGCCGAAAGTTCTGGAGATGGTGGGGCCTCCTCCAAAGACTCAGCTTCATCGGATGGCTTCTGTTCCTCAGCTGGCTTCGCAACCCGAGGAGCCGAATGCGCTTCTTCTTGGAGAGATCTTTTTGGCTCACCAGGGTCTTCAACAACTACAAGGACATCAACTCAGATCGCCAGATAGGTGACAGGAGGGGACGGAACTTTGCAGAGGACAGGTTGTTGGGGCCATCTTCGAGACTCCCTAGCGGCTCAGACCTCGTTGAGATCAGTCTGGATCCGAGAAAACAATGCCTGCGAATTGTCTCTGATGACAAGGCAGCTGCCAATACTGTTGGCCCGGCTTTCCATGTGGATCAACTGCAGGAGCTTGGTGCTTATAGCAATTTCTTAGCTGCGAAAGTTGCTTCAGAGGCAAAGAGGAGGAGGAGATCTGCTGCAGGGGATATGCTACATGGCGATGACTTGTGGATGCATCTTTGGCCTCGTCCCCCTCCATTGTTACATGGTGAGGTCTACATAGCTTTTGGTGCCATCTTCCAGGGAGATCATGGAGGCGTTGAGTTTGCAACTCAGGCTCATGAGAATCTGCTGAAGTCTGTGGGGCTCTTAGAGGATGGGGAGGCAAATAGACCCACCTCAGGACTTTCACTGGTAGAGGGGCTTGTTATTGATGATTATTTTGCAATCTCCATCGAGGGCCGATCACTGCCATCCTGTGAGTCGAAAGCATCCGTTTGCTTTGAACGAAGCCAAGAGGTCTACAACACCTACAAGATCCAGGGTTCCCCGCACAAGGATGTGAAGGGAGAAGTCAGAAGCAAGGTCATTGGTGCTGAGCTAAACTCTGGAACCCATGCCTGCACTCAGGGTGTTACTACATGTGGAGCACCTATAGCCAAGAGGCTGAGTCTGAGTACAACAACCTTCCCTTCATTTGTGCCTCCTGGGAGCTTGGACATTGGTGATGCTGTATCGTCGACCTCTTATGGGAATTTTTGCAGTGGCTCAGAGTGTGGATGCCTCTCAGGTTGATGGGATGCACCCTAAGACGGTTCCTTTGTCGAGGAGAGTGGCAAATGAGCTCGTGATTGCGTCTGTGCTCGCTCCCCTGGCAGTCTCTGACCTGGGAGCCTTGTTTGACAAGAAGGTGTATTCCACTGATGCGTCTGACACACATGGGGCTATCACATCTACAACCTTGCCAGCGTGTCACATTGAGCAACTATGGAGAGCCTGTCGTTCAAAGGGAGCCTACAGTCGCTTGAAGACTCCTTTTGAAAGTCTCATGCTGCGCTTGGGAGCTACAGAGGAAGGGGTTGATGATGAGGAGACATCGTATGACCATCTGGAGAAAGTTGAACGGCCTGTTGCTTTTTCATCTGATTTTCTGGAAGTCTTTGCTGGATCTTCGAAGGTGACAAAGTCTGCAGCTCTCCTTGGTTTGGTAGTGGGCCCGCCGATCGACATTTCATATTCAGGGGAACTGCCCACGTAATGTGCTTTTTCTGCACTGCAATGCCCTTGCTGAGATACCAATATTTGAGGTCGATTCACATGCGAAGCGCAGAGACATTTGGCGCTGTCTTCAAGGCTTGCTGTCAACTGGCCTCTACTGACTTCTCAGAGGGCTCAATTTTTCAACACGGTGATGATGACCCAGACAACCCAGCAGCAAAGGAGGAGATTCAGCGTTGATTCATGATTCATTGGTTCATGTTCCTGGCACACAGTTTACTGGACGGACCCACAGGCACTGGCCACTATCACTGTCCTTTACTATATATTTATATACTCTTTACTATTTACCAAGTCTTTCCGTTCCATTCCATTCTGCTGCTGCTGTTCAAGAACACATTCATATGGACAAAGTGTATGTTGTGACTGCGAAGGACAATGATGGCCTACCGGCAGGGCCGTCATCAGCAACTTTGTCCAGAGCCAGCGCAAAGTTAGACGCCTTTTTGATGATGGCGCGGCGCGTATAGTGGAAGAACTGCGGTGGATTTCAATCACATTGGATTCAGCTATGTCTTTCAGATGCAGTGCATTGCGTGCTTGTAACAAACACTCTGACTCACTGACCACGACCATGTTTTTTGCTTTCTATTTCTACTACCAGACATTGTTTTGGGAACGTTGCAGGGATACTCTGCATAAGGGAATCACTCCACTCCACATCCCAATCCCCTTCCGGTTGAACATGTTGTTCCTTGTGTTCAGGTGTTACCCTTTGTTTTGAACAGGTGTTCTTTGCTCAGAGAGCCGCAGCCTTGCCTGCACCCTGCCCACCCACCCCATGGTGAAATGCGTGAAGCCTTTTGTATTTATCGCACCATCCCAATCCCCAATGGATAATTGTCTAGGGGACCAGGGTTGGTGTCAGGTGCTCCCAGCCTGGCACCACCCGCCCTTGGAGTTGT